AAATAGAAAGAAGATTTTCCAATTGATGCTATCATCTGTATAGTTCAAATTAAATCAAATATCATTCGTACTTTTTTGTACATTTGAGAATAAACAAATTTGGATGTAGAAATATATATTCAATCTTCCTAATCTGAAATCATATAGAAGTATATTTTAATTTACATTATTTTAATTTGCGTGTTTTTATGCATTTTGGTATGGATAATTAGGCAGGTTACGTATCATACAATATTCAGCTATGGATTTAAAAAAAAAGTTTGTACAATGATTTACTTATNNNAGATTTAAATAAAAGAGTATTTAGTATCAATATTTCTGGAATTCTGGAATTTATTAAAGCTTATTCAAGATAAGTTCTTATTAAACAAAAAGTTACATAACATAGAGATTGTATATTATTAAGATTCAGAAATAGTTTTTCGCGTATAAAATATCAATGAATTCACATTGACACCGTTATACAAACTATATTGCAATATACTTCTGCCATGAATTAAAACTAAACCAGTTGTCCCTCATTCTATCTAATACAAACTTAAAATGCTTTTAATTCATTATTTGAATCTTGTATATATATGTATATTTGATATCTAGAATTTTGATATCTAGCATCCACGTTTCAAAAGTATCCCACATTTTTATAAAAATTTTATAAGAACCTAATATATAATTTCTTCAAAAACCAGAATAATTTAATGTTGTAAGTACGCAAAAGGATGATGTAGTATAAATCATAAAATTAATTTGAAAAAAATTATGGTATAAATAATGTATAGAATTTTTGCTTTTTTTGAGAAAAAAGCAACTAAATTTATGATATAAGAAATAAATAAAAAAAATTGAAGCGTAATGATGAAAATATAATAAAAATGTTTTCTTTTTATTTATTTTACATTCATTATATGAGAAATTTCGAACACTCGCAGTTCGCATTCATCTGTAAACATTTGTAAAAAAATTTTGATCAAAATGAAATTTTCTCTCACAATTAAAAAATAATTATGCGATATAGTAATTATTTTAGATTAATCATAATAGTATCGCAATGATCAATAACTAATAACTAATAAATATCAATAACATTAAAATATTAGGAACGCAAGAAACTGTATAAAGAATATTTAATTGAGAAATTATTAACAAGAAGAACAAACAAAATAAAAAACAGATATCAAAATGAAGTATAGAGTAATAATAATTTTTTATTTCAATACTAATATATTTA